GAACGCGTCATTGGAACGGTACTAATGGATATTTTTGGTTGCTATTGAAAATTTAGTCGATTGCTGAATTTATGTATGGGCCCAAATTAGGGGCATTTAGACCGAACTTACATCTATTTCCCCTATTTTACAAAAAATCTCTTGCAGGCTTAATGCTTGAAGCCTACTTGAAATATCCATTTCATTTTAGACTAAAAAATTACTTTTCTGTAGTGTTTAGTTATTTATCTAATATTCTAAAAATGTTAGGCTAGCTCAAAATGTTAAAATTGTTAAAAGATTTCTGAATCAGAAAATAACCCAACTAACATTTTCAGCTTTGTAAGCCAACTTTTCCAGCGTTGTACTGTAAAGTAGCTGAAAAGAAGCTGGAGATACAGCTACAAGCAAACTAAACAACATGTACTCAGCTTATAAACTGTGTTAGAGCAACTTCGGAAGCATTTTCACAGTCAACTAGGTTTATTATTAGACGTGTGCAGTTTTACAGCTTTTACTCTGCTATTTTATAACTAGTCGAGAAAAGTGATTCATGTGCACTATTATAAAGCCTCTACTCAGTGATTTTGTTGTAGAAGGGAATGTTGATTTGTTTACATAAGTTCAAAGTGTTGGCGTAGCACAGTTGGTAGTGTCAAGGTTTGCCAATGAGGTCGTCTCGAGTTCGATTCCAGGTTCCTCCGGTGCAGGGTAAATAATTTGGTGATGATTTGTAACTAACTTCGATTAATTTGATTCACAGCAAAATAAACTCAATAAATTCCTTCATAAAAAAGCGTAAACAGTATTTAACCCGGCTTCAAGAGAAAGCTGTTTAGTGATTATTGGATAACCGGGAAAAGGTTGAATAAGCGCCTTTCAAGTTCACACACAACTAAACAGCGTGATAACAGCTGTATAGAATCGTTAATGGGTATGCAATAAGAGCTTCTCCCGACCGTTCCAACAGCCATAAGTAGCTGAGTAAGTTCGCCAGATTTGCTTGTATAGAGGTTGAGTAAAGGTTTCTTCATATCGTATAACGTTTGAATACAGCTTGAGGCTGTATAAATGAAATGAGTAAAGCGTTTACGTTGTGAAAATTGTTAGTTGGGAAGGTCTATCAGTAATTTCTTATAACTTATTGTTCATATTCCTTCAGTAGCCAAACGGTCATTAGTTTCTTATATGACACGATGTTTTCTATTTGTTTTATAAACATTAAAGTTTTGCTAAGCAAAATATTTTTTAAGCCCATTCGGGGAAATATGAGCACCACTGATATTTCAAACATTTTCTACCTAAATTCTTCAATTTTGCATTATTATTTATAAATATTACTGTATCATATGAAATTACGTTTTTAAACAGCTGCTTTGGTCGAGGGGGACGACTTTATCTACGATGCAGGAAAGATTATGTTTTGCTGTGGCTAGCTGCGCGCACACTGAGTAGATAGAAAGAAGATTGACGACGATTCTGAAGATTTCCTGCAAAAAGATGATGCGCGATGCAAGTAGATGCGAGAAATGAAAGAAGATTTTTCGAAGATTGATTCGCTAGTGTGAGATTTGTTGAGCATCTAGACTTGAGATTTAGATGTGTCGTCCCCCTCGGCTTTGGTAAGAAATCAGTCATTTACAAGACTGAAAAAATAGTCTTAAATAGGCAGTACTTCGTAGATGTAATTTATTCAACCGAAAGTAATAGTTTCTATTAAATTTTGTTACGCTAAAACCACTTACAAACAGACACACCACTTGCAAGTTGTTCATTGAACACGCATTTAACGGTCAATTTAAATGGTTTTTAGTTGGTAGTACCGCGTTTGCGTTTGCGTTTAGCGTTTATTTATCCGCCATCTGTTCAGCGTACTATCCATCACAGTATACTCAACAGATGGCGGTAGTGTTTTAGCAACGATGTTATATATTGAAAAATATTCAATGTGTTATGTCTGTTTGTCTGTGCTAAGACTGTGCACTTCTAACCCTTCTTAAATTCTCATGAAAACAGAAAATTCTTACCAGTTGTTTACTAGGGCGCCCTGATAGGGTGCTTATTTAACCTAAACGGTTTTATTTCGGTTACAAAATGCACATTTTTTAATCTTCTTTCATAAGATTCAAAAGTATACTTTTATTATTTAATTTGTATTAATGATGTAAATAGAACATGAAATATCAATTTGATTAAAAATCTTTCGTCATTAATTTTTTAACTAGTTCATGTATTTACTAGGCTCAGTCGTGTGTGACACTTTGCGGAGCCAAATATCAGTAATTCTTGAATTTACATTTCAACTGAATTTGATATAATTAGTGATGATTTTCTTAAGGTGGCCAAACTGCCCCACTTTCCCGTACTCATGTAAAGTGATTGTAATGTAAAGTGATTTGCTGTTAAATTTGCACTACTTACCAAACATTGCAAATCGATGTGCAAATCCCTTGGAAGAGATCATATCGAAGCACGATGAAATCAACAGCAAATCACTTCATTTTAGATTAAAAATCTATCGCTTTAAATTTAACTAATTTATCCTTGGATTTCATGTTTGCTGAATATGGATTTAAAGAATATATTGCCTTGTTCATACTGCAAGCCTTGTTATATGTTATTCAGAGTATGACCATAGAACATATATCATATTACTACCCAGGTCACATGTGTCCAAGTGATATTGAACAACATTACAAGGCTTGTAGTAGAAGTAACATTGAGCAATCAATTTGATAAGTTTGACAGTGTATTGTAATAGAACTTATCTGAATAATACACTATTATTGAATACAGCAACAATTTTGGAATACTCGCGCTCTAGAATGCAAGTTATTTCGGGTGGAAATGGAGAATTATCGCTTTCTTGCTCTTAATTAATTTGTTGTTGACTTGCCATCTTCGCGAGTAATTATTGGCATGTGCGTTTTTCTACATTTGCTTCCAAAAGCAAAACTTATCAAATTCAATGGATAAAAACAGTGGTGCCAATTCAAATGATAATCATTTTGATTTAAAGGTGTTATACAGTACATATTAGTCAACGACAATTCACTTTGTTTCAAAACGTAAATCACCTGAAAATCAATTATAAATCACTTCGATTCGTAGTGCCGCATGACAGACTGAGTCAAGTGCAAGAGCATTTGTATTAGATGTGACAACTTTTTACCGTGTGCTTTAAAGCTACTCTTTTAGTCGACACACGGTTGCTGCTCTGCATGTGACGATGAGCATAGAAAAGAGTGGCTGCATTTCTCTAGGAGTAGCTGATTAAATCCCCACTTTGTGCACTCTTGTAGAGGAAATAATATCCTTAAGCCGCAGTATAATTGGTAATGCAGCCGTTTACTGAATGGGATTTGTGAGTTCAAATTCAGCTCGACGAGATCGGAACATGTCTGTGTGTGTGTGTGTGTGTACGTGTGTATGTGTGTATGTGTGTGTGTATGTAACGAAATGAATGCGCTCACGTTTCTCAGCAACCGCTCAACCGATTTGGACAAACTCGGCGCCAAATGATAGGTCTTGGGGTCCCATTGAACGCTATTGACGTATCAAAACCATCATGCCACACATCAAATTACTACAGAATTCAAAAATAAGATCAATGCAAGTCGTGTTAAGTGTTCCAGACCACATTGGACACACTTGGACATGTTCCGGGTACCCCGGGGAAGTTGCTTGAATATGAATTGAATTAAAACCCATTAAATCACATTAAAATACGATGATAAAGTGATTGGTAGCCTCACCAAATAGACTACACCCGGATATATTCCGGGTACCCCCAGGCAGTGGCGTAGCGCCACTGGATGACACGGGGGTGGGGGGCTTGGTCACTGATAATGACAATAAAATAAATAAACTTGAATAAGTAAGAAGGGTCTGATCACACCATAGGTGGATAAATTCGGGTTTTTTTTTCTTTAATTCGCTTTTATTCGCTTAATCTTTTAAAATCCAAGATTTTCTTTTTTTATTGTTATTGGGGGTTAGTACATATACTCTAGTATTGAGGAAGGTCACGACTTTAAATCGCTCGAAGAATCTACTAAAGTGATAAAGTCACTGAGTTATAAACAAAGCAACCATAAACAAAAATCATGTCATACTAAATATGAGAGCCCATTTTCATAAGAAATTCTAAATCATATTTGGCCATTTCATACTAGTTCACGAGGATAATATGAATAATAATTCAAGAACAACAATTGAAAAAGCCTATACTCCATTTTGCAAACAAACCCTTACACTACCCTTGGCCTTACAACATTTTGTCACGAACCAAAGTCCGCCCACGCAAACCAATTAAATGAACAGGTAGGGGAAATTCTCCTCTACCCGATTGTGTTTAAGGTTTGCGAATGAAGGTTTCGGTCAGCGAGAAAATAACCTTGCAAGGTTTTAAAAAAAAAAGGAAGTTGAGGCCTCTTCAATTGTTGGTCTTGAATTATCAAACAATGTTCCATATTTCTGAAAACCCCATTTTTTCAAACAATATTTTTATTTAAGCTTTCACCACACAATCAGTAAAATTTCATAAGAAACAAATCAGTTTTAAATGTTAAATTAACCTGAATTGACTCATCTCAATACACCCTAAACTCTGTTCTATCGCTATGATGTATTCGTAATATTGGGCAAGCTTAACATATTTTCGTTTCTAAGCACATGTTGAACAAACAACACCTTTCGCCCTTTAAAATCATTTTGAATTACAGAAAAACAAGGATTGCAAGTGCCTGTATCAAATTTATCAATTCTGAAGCCTAGTTTGTTTAGATTATCAGCATTTTTATTCGTTTTTATTTTTCAGATTTGTACTTTCTTTCATTTCTATGTTAAATATTGTACTGATTTCCCAAAAATTCTAATTAGTTTTTCTGAACCGCTTCAGTCTTTTTTTCAACAATTCTTCCCTAAAAATCCTTGAATTTATTGAATATTGTAAATATTCTTCCAACTGCATTCGTATTGAAATCCCCTTAACTAATGTTCTCATTTCCACCTCCACCCAGGGCGAGATTACGGCCAAGGACCGCACCATTCGACAGCAGCAGAACCTGATCGAAAAGTACGAAGCCGAGCGGGAAAAGCTACAGGCAGGCCTACCGGTTGCCGCAGACCGGGCCGCTGGGAACGGCACCGATGACAAGACTATTGATACAATCAGCACCGCCACGCAGACTGAGAGGGTAAGGAATCTGGGCATAATGCGCCAAGAAACGGAAATCTTACCTAATGCTCTTTTTCTCATTCATTCTTCGCAGTTGAGGCCACTGTCATTCGGCGGACAGGAAGGATTAGCGAGGTAATTACTGTCGTTTTGACATTTTCATTTTGTGTGGTTCGCGCCACATTTTATCGTTATCGATTTTCAATTAGTTAAGTCTTCGCTTCATCCATTCGAGCCGACCTTCTCATATAGTTTCTAAATCCTTTTTAATTTTCTTTTCTCTTTTATTTCTCTAACCACTTGGTTTGTTTTACTCCACTCCACGAAACGCAGAGCCATTTTTTGTTACCTTCCCCGTCGTTCTCTGTTTGTGGCTGACTTTTTCCCCATCAGAAACTTCACCGACTTTGAGTGTAACCTTGTTAATCGCTCGGTACAAGGATTTAGCACGATTTTTCGCCGGATTTACGGTTTCGCGTGTCGCCTGCTGTCGTTTGCACCGGATTTGTTCAATCGGTTCCTAACACCACGAACTAATTGCATCGATTGGAGCTTAGTGGCTCCCAGAATGCGACAACTGTCCAATCGTTCCTCCCTGTTTGTGATTAGAGTAATCCGATTCAATTCGCTCCTGATGGGTAAAATCCATCGTAGCTTCTATCAAATCCGCTACGCGCTGCTGTGTTTCTATCGGTTGTTCCACAGGAGTGAACGATCCGAACCACAAACAGAAATCGATACCTAATTTTCTTATGATTGATTGTTTTCTTTTTACTAACATCCACCTTTAACTAACATCCAACCTTTTCTGAAACATGCTGCTTGCTCAAACAAACGGATCATGTGATACAAACCATTGCTAAAACCGAAATTGTGCACCCATTATTGTTCCTCACCACCATCATCACCATCATTGGGCTCTCATAAATGCTTCTCACCAAAAAAAAAACCAAAAACTTGGCCCCGGGATCGGAACACCTTGGACACAAATATTTAACTGCTCACAGGCTGCAACTTGGACAGGTACTTGCTTGCGATGTGTTACTTTCGTTCTTTCTGCTGTGTTCCATTAACGTCATCTGCATCTTACATCTGTTGCACAACCGGATGGACGCTTGTCCGGCTGCTTATGGAAATTGGTAACCGCGACAAGGGTCCAAACTGGATCAAAATTGGTGCTAAATATTGTGTTTGTCACTAGCAACCTACTGGAGGGTTGAATTATGTGCGAGTACCTACCTAGTTCGACAATAAGTTGTTAGATGTCGTCCCGTTATAACAATCATCATTTTTAATACCAACACACAAATATTTACTTTAACTCTACTTTCATGCTGCTATCGCTAGTTAAATGAGGTAACTAATGCTGTGATCACACTCATTCATTGTTAGTTGTATCGGATGCGCACAAATGGTCTGGTTTGCATATGATCTAACTAGATTTATAGTAAATCCATGCTGGTTCACATCCAAATCGGGTTAAATTTTGTTAGCGGACTAGAACGAATCTCATAGTAGTAATTTGATTTCATTTTCATAACTGTCATATTTACAAAAAAAATAAGAATAACACCTGCAAAACATTAGATTCATTCATATGCAAACATATGTTTTCTAATGATCTTAAAAAAACTAAAAAAAATGATTAAATTACATATCCCTATAATTTAGTTGATATAGTCAGAATAGATTCATGTAAGCTTTGTTAGGAAAATAATTCTCAAATGTCATTCATTGCGCCTTAGGGTGGGAAACCCTTACAACCCGCTATTCGATTTGTGTTGAACCCTAAGAACTGTACCAAATTTGAACAAATTTGGTTGAGATTTGGATTTTTCGGGAGAATTTTAAAGTTTGTATAGCAAAATGACTGGTGAACGAAAACAAACTATATCCACATAATGGGCAATATTGCCCATATCTGAGACTTAGATTGGGTAAACATTGCAGAACAACTTTGTCGAAGACTGCAAATCGATTCTAGTTCTGTGCAAAAAAATTAAGCCCTTGTCAAACGATATTTAAGAACTAAATCAATCAGTCCGCATCGTGCTCTCTTGCCGTGCGGATCTATTTGATTTTTGCTGAACGAAGTGTTACTACTACCTAAGGCTACAATAAATTTAAACAGCACTTTTCAGTGCTCAACCTGTAAAAAAATTCTACCTTTGTTCAACTCTTATTCCTCTTCGATCCTTGTTTGGCCCTACCCGAGGCAATCCTTCTTGGATATCGATTTGGAAAATTCCTCTTCGATCCTTCAGATTCTTATAGTAATCTGCTTGGAAGTCGATTTGGATAAAAATTTACTGCTGCCATGGCGCCTAAACGCAAAAGAAAGGGGCAAACTCTTGATCCCCCTTCTGATGAAATTAATTTAAGTAATCAATTTGATTTGCTCACGGATGATGAGAATGATCCATCATCCAAGAAAAATTGTAGTAAACTTTCCCGGCTTAATGCCAAGAAGGAAAAGATTCCCCCTATTGTGATAACCACTTCCGATTTCCATGCTCTTCGCTTGGAACTTTTGAACTTCGTGAAAGTTAAGTTTTCACTACAAATTGGACGTCGGGGTGAATGCCGTGTATTGGCTGAAACCTTGGACGGATTTAAATGTCTTCTCAAGTATCTTACTGAGAAGCAGCATAATTTTTTTACTTACGACACCAAAATTGAACGTGTGTTCAAGGTTGTCATGAAAGGACTGTCCAGTGGTGAATCCCTGGATCAGATCAAAAATGAACTGGCAAAATTACTTGGAGTTGTGCCACTCTGGCGATTCGCGCAACGGGATTTCTAATGATTTTTATTTAGTTTACTTCAAGTCTAGTGAACTAAACAACCTTAAGGCCTTAGAAAAAGCTAGCCTTATGCTCCATGTCCGAGTGAAGTGGGAACACTTCAGGAAGACTGGAGGAAATTTCCAAAACCTCACTTAGTGCCGTAAGTGCCAGGGATGGGGTCACGGAACTAAAAATTGCTACATGCCAGCTAAATGCATGAATTGTGGTGATTCCTCTCACGCAAAGGACGACTGTCCTGTGAAGGAAGATCCTAAGAAATTTAAATGTTCATATTGTGGTGAAAACCACAAATCTAATTTTTGTGAATGTAAGACTCGCAAAGCGATTCTACAATCTCGTTCTAAGCGACAGGTAGGAAACGCTCTACGTTTCCGACCAGGTACAAATTCCTCTGCTGTTAACAACGGTCAGCGAGGAACAAATTCTACATTCGTACCCGTAGGTACAAGTATAACCTCTGCTTCAAATTTTTCATCTATACCTACTCCCCTCGCTGCTAACAATCTTTAGCGAGTTAATGGAGCTACCTATGCTGCTATTGCAGCGGGTAGACTTCAAAATACTAACCAACGTAATTCTAACGAACATTTTGACAATTTTGATTTAGGATGCATTACTGCCCCTAAAATGGAATTTTTACAGAAATCATTAATTGACATGATTTCTGATATGCTTAAATCTAACTCCATGTTTGATGCTATTCAAACTGGAGTAAAATTTGCAAATAATATTGTCATGACTTTAAAGTTCAGTAATGGATTTAAAAGCATTAAATATTGTAAATTGGAATGCTCGATCTCTTAAAGATAATGAAGACGAGCTATTTAACTTTTTGAGAGTTCATAACGTGCATATTGCCGTTATAACCGAAACGTTCCTTAAACCTGACCATAAGGTTAAGAAGGACGCAAATTATTTCATTTATAGAAATGATCGTCTTGATGGACCCTGTGGTGGCGTTGCCATCATTGTTCATAGACGAATCAAACATAAAATTCTTTCTTCATTTGAAACCAAAGTTTTTGAAACTTTGGGAGTTTCTGTTGAAACAAAATTTGGACAACTTACATTTATAGCTGCCTATTTGCCATTCCAATGCGTAAGCCAGCAAAAGAATTTTCTCAAGGGTGACCTTCAGAAACTTACCCGTCATAGGTCTAAATTCTTCATTATTGGTGATTTTTATACAAAACACCACTCATGGAATAATGCTCAAAGCAATTCCAATGGTAATATTCTGTTTGATGATTGTTCTCCAGGTTATTACACTATTCATTATCCAAACAGTCCAACATGCTTTTCTTCTGCAAGAAATCCCTCCACTATTGATTTGGTATTAACTGATTCATGTCAACTTTGTAGCCAATTGGTTACCCATGCTGACTTCGGTTCTGATCACCTTCCAGTAACTTTTGAAATATCCCAAGAAATAATTTCTATTCCCAACAGCTCTACTTTCAATTACCATAGAGCTGATTGGAAGCAATATCGAACATTTATGGAATATAACTTCAATCCAAACATTCCTTTGCAAACCAAAGATGAAATTAATTATGCTCTTGAATCTCTGACTACTTCTATAGTTGAAGCAAGAGCTGCCTCAGTACCAAAATGCGAGGTTAAATTCGATTCAATAATAATAGACGACGATCTTCAGCTCTTGATCCGTCTTAAAAATGTCCGTAGGCGACAATATCAAAGAACACGCGATCCTGCCATGAAAGTTATCTGGCGGGATTTGCAAAAACAAATTAAAAAACGATTCTCTGCCCTGAGGAACAAAACTTTTGAAAATAATGTTTCTAAACTAGACCCGAGTTCCAAACCCTTTTGGAAACTCACAAAAATTTTGAAAAAACCTCAAAAGCCTATTCCAGCGCTTAAAGGAGGTGGTAAAATTTTGATCACAAATTTGGAAAAAGCTCAGAAACTTGCTAAGCAATTCGAGAGTTCCCATAATTTCAGTTTGGGTCTTACTAGTCCTATTGAGAATCAGGTTGCTCGGGATTTTCGGAATATTTTCTCTCGGGAAAATATTTTTGATGATTCCTGGGGGACTGATTTGGACGAAGTAAGGTCTTTAACTAAAAAGTTTCATAATATGAAAGCTCCAGGTGATGATGGAATTTTCTATATCCTCATCAAAAAACTCCCAGAGAGTACCTTGTCTTTCTTGGTAAAATTATTTAACAGATGTTTCCATTTGGCATACTTTCCTGATAAATGGAAAAATGCAAAAGTTGTTCCAATTTTGAAGCCGGATAAAAATCCAGCTGAAGCTTCTAGCTACCGCCCAATAAGTTTGCTTTCTTCAATAAGTAAACTTTTTGAAAATATAATTTTGAATAGAATGATGCTTCACATCAATACGAACTCAATTTTTGCAGATGAGCAGTTTGGATTTCGCCATGGGCATTCAACTACTCATCAACTCTTAAGAGTTACCAATTTAATTCGTTCAAACAAATCGGAAGGCCACTCAACTCGAGTTGCTCTTCTAGACATAGAAAAAGCATTCGACAGTGTTTGGCATGAAGGTTTGATTGCTAAATTGAAAAAGTTTAATTTTCCACTTTATATTATGAAGTTAGTTCAAAATTATATAACTGACAGAACTCTGCAGGAAAGTTATCAAAATTCCAAATCTAATAGACTACCTGTTGGAGCAGGAGTTCCTCTGGGTAGCATTCTTGGGCCTATATTGTTTAACAATTTCACACAACTACAAAAACAATTACGCCAAAATCTCGAAGTTCTCCGGACTTGTCTTCTTGATAAGTTATTGATATTATTTCTTTATTTCTTTGGCTAACCTAAGCACGGACTCAATAACAACATTAGAATTATAATATCGTAAATAAAATCAAACCATTAAACAAATGTGTTGTTATATTTCTGACTACCAAAGCTACACATTATCCTAAGTTAATCACTTTCTCTTCTCTTCCGACAGTCGAAGTGAACCACCTTCGCCACTACGCAACGGCCTCCGATCTCCTGCAATCGCCAACAGCAACAGCAGCCACCATCATCACCACGCTAATGGCAGCAGCAGCAACAACCACAGCACAACATCACCATCAACATCATCGTCGGCACTCATCAACAGCAACAACAGCCGTGGACCGGTGAACCATAAGCCAAAAACCCAAATCTCATCCGTCTATACACAGCTCTCATCGATCAAACACTCGAACCATCATCATCATCATCATCAACATCATGGCAGCTCGTCCACCATGGGCCAAAAGCGGTCTTCCCTCGGTTCCAATAGTAATCTGAACCACATTGCATCATCAGCACCCTCTCCATCCAATACCAATGGTTCAACCATGAAAACCGTTCGCACCACCCTCATCGGTAACGTCCTGACCTCTAGCAAACTCAATCAAAGCAACAGTAGCGTCTCACCGCCCCCTCCGCCGCCTACCAACGGTACAAAATTGCTCAAAACCTCAATCCGGACTCAGATGAACGGTGGAAATGGACTCATCACCTCCCACAAGCAGAGCGGTGCATCGCCGTCCAACAAGCGATCGTCCGCCATCAAGCCGCCATCTTCTTTCGCAAATAGTACCTTTCCGGCGGATTCGCCTACAGCGCACAAATCAAAATCCGCTCCTGTTACTCCGATGACCGAACGTGTCCCGGCAACGCCACTCTCGCCATCATCACCCCTGGCAACGCCAAACGTACAGATCGTTATCGAAACTGTCGATAACAGTAACGGAACTGAAGAGTCAAAGGAAAATGCCTACAATCACGAGCAACAAAATGGCGGCTCCTCTCCCGTTCAAGGCGATGACGCGAACGATAACAACAACAATAACAACCAGAACAAGCATGATGACGATGATGATAAAGAGCAAATAGCCGAAAAGGAAAAGGACGCTATCAATAATAAGATCAATAGTCTTAAGCTAGCAAACGGATTGACTGGATGTAATGATAGTAGTTGTAAGGAAAGTAGCTTAGTTATCTAGTTCGGTAAGAGAATGATTATTTATATATTTAAATAAAACCATTGAACAAACAAATTTGAAACAAACTATAAATGAATGTGATCCAATAACCTTTAAATTATGGACTTGCAGAACAAGTATCTATTCAAAAACCAGCGCTCATACATATTCATCACTCTGATACAACCAACCTATAACCAAATTGAAAATTAAAGCATGGAAGCAACCCAAACTATATACTCAACAAAAACTGCTTTTTGGATCAATAAAACAAATAACCTGTCCATTTTACTCCTGATCAACCGCAGAAACCGTAAAAACACTTTTGAGCTAATATTACAGGAAGGCTATAATAGATGCAAGCGTGTTTCCTTTCGAATGAGCGCTTTTACATTTGTAGGACAAGTGATTTTTTTTTTAATAGAGAAAGGTGCTGTAAAGATGCTAGGAAAAGCTATACAACAAACATGTTAAATTGTTTCCTTCCTCCCTTTGAACGTTTCGTGCAATCTTATATAAATACCTGCATTACATACAGTTTCGTTTTTACGCGAATTGCTGAATGAATTTTAATTTTTTCAGAACAGTTAATCGAATTGAATTTAGATGGCATTCCCAGCGAACGTCAGCAATCGAATAGCGAATATTATTACACAAGTACACACATAAGTTTAAATCAATCTCTATATTTCCTTGCAGAACTATAGAAGACGTCGGTTCTTTCTACATCAACTATTAACATTAATTAAAACAATGCAAAGCGGAAAACAAAGTTGAATGCGAACAAGTATTACCCTGCCGCGGAAATTTTGACATGCTAAACAAGAAACAAAGTCAACCAAAAATCGGTTCTAAACGGATTGAAAACAACGTGACAATTGTATTTATCAATAACAAAAAAAAAACTTCCTCTCATGAAATCTGAATTAAAATTCACACATTGATCCCCTTGTTACACGCATAAGACGCAAATACGAAATTCAAACCGGCGAAAAGGCATTCGGAACAGGAAGAAAAATAAATCGGATAATCCAGGAACAAGACATTTGGCAACTCCAATGTAATACGTTGAGTACACTGTGAACTTATTGGTAAATATATATATATTTCAATTACATACAGTAACAGATCGTTCTTTTAATGGTGGAATAATATCACAGGTGGATTGTAGTATATTTATTTATTGTCGGCTACTCTACCTGACAGCGGTGTTAGTATGCGTGGGTGAGCTACCAATTACGCTAAACCGTTGATCGTCGATTACAAAAGCAGCTACGTCCCTTCAAAAAAGTTATATAGAACAGACAGATTACACCGGAAACGCCTTGATCAACGTTACAGGGCCTGTTTATATGTTTTTCATTGCACTGGAGCCCATATTTCGTGAGAACATAACGAGAATACAGCTGGTGAATAACAATAATATTCCAGCCGAGCTAGCTACCCGTAAAAAAACAATGATATGCATTGTAACCATACAATAAAATTTAATGTACTTAAAATAAATTGAACTGTCCACAACGATAAAATAACGCTAGAATTTATTATTTCCACAATAGAATATATGGTGAATGGGATAATCTACAATAGAATAAGGGGGTTGTTACAAAAAATCACTTTTTCCCAAACAAAAATGGCTCTAATGTTGGTCTATGGATCTAAGATTGGACCCATAGCTAAAAATCTGCTATTTATCAATTTTATCTAGATGAACGCAACATTGGGACGGTACTAATGGATATTTTTGGTCGCTATTGAAAATTTAGTCGATTGCTGAATTTATGTATGGGCCCAAATTAGGGTCGTTTAGGCCGACATTACATCCATTTTCCCTACGTACAATTAGATCGATTGATGACAATATTTTTTTTTCCTTTGGTTTGTTTTTTCCGTCGATCTTGTTTTCCGTGCTGAGCACCAATGCTACCAACGTGCCAGGAAGGCAGCTCCCACACCTGGACCCTACCTATCAACCCATCAACTCATGAACCGGGGACCAACGGCTTTACTTCCCATCCGAAGGAAGGCGTGATCAGAGATGTTATGCCTCAGAACATCCCGGCGGCGCCGACTGGGATTGAACCCAGGCCTGCTGGGGTGAGAGGTAATCACGCTTACCACTACACCACCGGCGCCGTTTATTGATGACAATAGATGTTGTTGTAATTTTATATTATTTTATGGTTATTGTATGGTTATTTTTTCCCGGGAATTACCTTGATGATGCTATTGTAAATCACTATTTTTGAAGACTGTCACGAAACTAGATGATAGGTTCAAAATTTTTTGACTTTGTATTCATCAGCCATACAAATCCAGTGATTAAAAACTTGACAGTTGATCAGCGGCATTGTATTTTTTTTTTAAAGTATTTGCTTTTTAACATTGATGTAAACATAAAAAAAATATTTCAAAAGATTCTACTTGCGTTTTATTTGTATTCCAAAAGTCAAATAGTATCCAATTGCACTTTTCGTAGGCAAACTTAATTATAATTATTTAAATCTCAAATATTAAATTTCAACCGACATCTTAATAACACAGACAAACAGACATAACACTCATAAGTTGTTCATCGAATAAGCATTTAACGGTCAATTTGAAAGTATCTCAGTTGGTACACGGATAGAAATTTCCTTATCCAGCATTTTACGAGTGATCATGGCCGCCACAATCTGGCTGAGTTTCTGGTAGGGAACATTCGACTTGATGTTTGAGTTGTGTCGTTTGGCGTATAAACGATCAAATTTGACCGTTTACAGGTCAAACGACACAAGCCAAACTTCAAATAATATGTTCCCTACCAGAAACTTAACCAGATTGTGGCGGCCATGAGCGCTCGTAAAATACTGGATACCTTTTGGCAAATTTCTATTGCTGATTATTCATAAAATGTATAAGTCCACTAATAAGCAGACGCCGTGCAAAAAGTTAATGAAGATCATGTGTCAAATTACATGAATAAGCGGTTACACATACCTTTTATGCATTCTTATAGGACCTATGTGGTTTGTCTTAAGGAATGTATAAGGCTGATGTTTTGGCAAAAATGTATAAGTGAAACACGTGCGAAGGAACGCTGTCGCTGCTAACAATTTATTTTATTTTTCGAGTGAAGGAGTACTCCACCAACTGCAAGTTGGAAACCTTGCTATTTTCAATTTTATTGAAATTCCTGCAGGACTCATATCTAAAGGGTGATACGGTCAAAATTTGGTCAATATCAACTTGACGTATTTCTTTCAATTTTGCATTTAAAAAACCTGAACACCCCTCATTTTGAAGGTGTGTGTGTGTAGAATGTTGCTCCTATTTTGATTTTGGAATTCACTCTTCAGTTGTCAAAATGCCGTCCAAGCAAGAAGAGCAGCGTATCAAAATTTTGCTCGCGCATCGCGAAAATCCGAGCTACTCGCACGCAAAGTTGGCAAAATCGCTAAAAGTTGCCAAATCAACCGTTACAAATGTAATTAAAGTGTTTGGGGAACGTTTGTCGACAGCCAGGAAGTCTGGATCGGGGGGAAATCGAAAACCGGAAGCCGCTGAGACGACAAAGAGAGTTGCCGGTAGTTTCAAGCGAAACCCTAACCTCTCTCTCCGAGATGCCGCAAATAAGCTGGGTGTATCGTCTACAACCGTGCATCGAGCCAAAAAACGAGCCGGACTATCGACTTACAAGAAGGTAGTGACTCCAAATCGCGATGATAAACAAAATACGACGGCCAAAGCGCGATCCCGGAGGCTGTACACGACGATGCTGACGAAGTTTGACTGCGTGGTAATGGACGACGAAACCTACGTCAAAGCCGACTACAAGCAGCTTCCGGGACAGGAGTTTTATACGGCAAAAAGAAGGGGAAAGGTAGCATATGTTTTCAAGCACATGAAACTGTCAAAGTTCGCAAAGAAATATCTGGTTTGGCAAGCCATCTGTACCTGTGGCTTGAAAAGCAGCATTTTCATAGCTTCCGGGACTGTCAACCAAGAAATTTACGTGAAAGAGTATTTGAATAAACGTCTGCTGCCTTTCCTGAAGAAACACGGTTGTTCCGTACTGTTTTGGCCGGATTTGGCATCTTGCCATTACGGTAAAAAGGCCATGGAGTGGTACGCCGACAACAACGTGCAGGTGGTTCCCAAGGACAAGAACCCTCCCAACACGCCAGAGCTCCGCCCAATTGAGAAATACTGGGCTATTGTCAAGCGGAACCTAAAGAAGACCAAAAAAACTGCTAAGGGCGAGCAGCAGTTCAAGGCAAACTGGCTTTCTGCGGCGAAGAAGGTGGACAAGGTGGCTGTACAAAATCTGATGGCAGGGGTCAAGCGTAAGGCCCGGCAATTCGGATTTGGAAAAGCGGAAGCCTAACTGAATATTTTTTCCTGAATTTTATACTAATTGAACTTAAAAAAGAAATTTAATTTGATTTTTTAAATAAACGTTTTCACCGATTTACACGCGTTTTCCCTTGACCAAATTTTGACCGTATCACCCTTTAGTTGCTCTAACCAGGGTGAGAACCTATACTTATTGAGTGGAGAAAGTTCTTTTTTAAATCTTTATTTTAGAGATTTTTAGCTTTAGAGTGGAGAGAGTCCCAACAAACAATTTGAGCTGAATAAGCTATTTTTTTAGCTGAAGAAGCATATTTTTGCCTGAATAGGCTGTTACTCAGCTTGCAATGTTTGTTGGGGTCTCAATCAATTGAAAATATAGAGTTGGTTGGAAATGCTAACATGAAGCTTTAGTGTGTGTGGTAGATAGAGTTGATGTGTAATAATAATGATAAATGAAAACTTTATTTGAAGGCAAATCAATTTGACGATTAGATCAAGTAATTAAACATTCTATATTAGCAGAATCCAGTTAGCATGGAACATGGCAGAGGTGATAGTAGAAAAGAGAGCGCGAGAACAAAATCCCATTACTTCATGAGGGGAAATCCCGACACAGCTAGTAGCACTGGGTAAAGAAGGGGAAATTAAGTAGGGTATAAATCGAGTATAAATACGGGCTAGTTGAGCTCGTTGAAGCATTCTTGTGACGATTGTTGAAAGCAACGGATGTACAGCAGCAGCATCAGAAACAGCAACAGCAGGAACAGCAGCAGCAGCAGAAATACCAGCAGCAGTGGAAGGAAGCAGATCAGCCGAGATTCGTGTAGCCGTGACCGAGGCTGGAAACCTCGGTCCGGTCACGACAGTGTGATGATTTATTAGCTAGAGAATGATCTTTAGAAGAGGGTAGGTGGATAGTTCCGTTAGAGTACGGCAGTATGAAAATTGAATAGAAGTTGAAAATGAGCGAAGGGCCATTAATGCGACAGTTTTTCAAGATAGACGAACATTTTTGCCTAACCCGTACGATGTACGCGGGGACTTGAAGTATGTCTCCAAGTCGACAGGCAGCCTGTGGACTTGGAGACATACTTCAAGTCCCCGCGTACATCGTACGGGTTAGGCAAAAATGTGCGTCTATCTTGAAAAACTGTCGCATTAATGGCCCTTCACTCATTTTCAACTTCTATTCAATTTTCATACTGCCGTACTCTAACGGAACTATCCACCTACCCTCTTCTAAAGATCATTCTCTAGCTAAAAAATCATCACACTAAAGCTTCATGTTAGCATTTCCAACCAACTCTGAAAATCGTTAACTTCGCGTATGAAGTAACATAAAAACACTTTGAATGTTGAAAATATAGTTTTTAGCTCAGAAATACCTTTGAGATTTTAGGCTCAAGAGCCAGTACTCTAACTATTGTGAGAGCCTATTTTACTTTGGGAATCTACAGTTTTTCTTGAACTAGAAATTTACCAAGGTGTTTTCGGATGAAAACAACGATACAGCCGCATTAAGTATCACTTATGAACTAGCTTTATTCTACAATTCATTTCCCTTATATAACGAAATTCTATCCTAAAAATGATCCTCGAGTAGAAAAATTCCCTAATCTAATGTGTAGGTGAAAATGGGACAACATTAAAAAA